ATCAGGGGACTTTAATACTCCACTCACATCAAAGGATAAATCATCCAGACAGAAAATCAATAAGGAAACAATGTCTTTGAATGATGGACATATTATGTCACATGGACATAACAGGTATATACATAAAGAATATTCCATCCAAAAACAGAAGACACATTCTTTTCAAGTGTACATGGAACACTTACATGGAACTTACATGGAACACTTACACTAATGCCTTACATGTAAGGCATTAAACAAGCCTTGATCAATTTAAGAGGACTGAAATCATACCATACATCTCTTCTAACCACAATGGTATGAGACTAGAAATCAATCACAAGAAAAAAGCTGGGAAAACCACAAACACATGGAGATTAAACAATAGGACACCAAACAACAAATGAATCAACAAAGAAATCAAAGAAGAAATAAAAGAAATACATGGAGACAAATGATAATGAAAACACAGTCGTCCAAAATCTTTGGGGGATAGTAAAAGCAGTTCTAGGAGGGAAGTATGTAGAGATACAGGCCTACCTCAAGAAACAAGAAAAAACTCAAATAAAGAATGTAACCTTACACCTAAAGGAACTAGAAAAATAAGAACAAAACCCAAAGTAAGTAGAAGAAAGGAAATAATAAAAATCAGAGTAGAAATAAATGACACAAAGACTAAAACGACAATAGAGAAAATCGATAAAATTAAGAGCTGGTTCTTCAAGAGTATAAACAAAATTGACAAACCCTCAGCCAGACCTATCAAAAAGAGAAAGTACCCAAATAAATAAAATTAAAAATGAGAGGGACATCATGACTCACATCATGGAAGTACAAAGGATTATAAGAGAACACTATGAAAAATTACATGCTAACAAACTGGACAACCTATTAGAAATGGATAAATTCCTAGAAACAAACAATCTTCCAAAACTGAACCAAGAATAGAAAATCTAAACAGATCAATTATAAGTAACAAAATTGAATTGGTAATCAGAAAACTACCAAAAAGTAAAAGTCCAGGACAGGATGGATTCAGAGGGAAATTTACCAGATATTTAACAAAGAATTAATACTTACTCTCCTCAAACTATTCCAAAAAAATAGAAGAGGAAGTAATGCTTCCAAATATATTCTATGAGGTCATCATTATCCTGACACCAAAGCCAGAGAAAGACACCACAAAAAACAAAACAACAACAACAAAAAAACCTGTAGGCTAATATGCCTTATGAACATAGCAGTGAGAATCCTCAACAAAATGTTAGCAAACTGCCTACAACAATACCTTAAAAAGATCACTCACCATGATCTGGTGGAAGTTATTCCAGGGAGGCAAGGATGGCTCATACTCAGAAATCAATTAACACCATACACCATATCAACAAAATGAAGAATAGAAATCACCTGACCATCTCAACAGATGCAGAAAAAGCATTTGCAAGATTCAACATCCATTCATGATAAAAACTCTCAACAGAGTGGGTTTGGAAGGAATATACCTTAACATAGTAAAGGCCATATATGAAAAACCCATAGCTTGCTTACATCATACTTAATGGTGAAAAACTGAGAGCTTTCCCTCCAAGGTCAGGAACAAGACAAGGATGTCTACTCTCACCTTTTTTACTTAACATAATACTGGGAGTCCTAGCCACAGCAATCAGACAAGTAAAAGAAATTAGAGGCATCCACGTTGTTAAAAAGAAGTTAAACTGTCACTATTTGCAGATGACACGATATGATACATAGAAAATTCTGAAGACTCTGCAGAAAAACTACTAGAAGTAATCAACAAATTCAGTAAAGTGGCAGGATACGAAATTAATACAGAAATGGATGGAGCTTCTACACCCAAATAACAAAGTAGCAGAAAGTGAAATTAAAAAAAAAAATCTAAAATTGCATCAAAAAGAATAAAATACCTAGGAATAAACTTAACCAAAGATGTGAAAGACCCGTACTCTGAAAACTATAAAACACTGATGAAAGAAATTGAAGATGACACCAACAAATGGAAAGACATTACATGCTCCTGGATTAGAAGAATTAACATGGTTAAAATGTCCACATTACCCAAAGCAATCTACAAATTCAATGCAAACCCTATCAAAATATCAACAGCATTTTTCTTTCTTTTTTTTTTTAAGATTTTATTTATTGGGGCACCTGGGTGGCTCAGTGGGTTAAAGCCTCTGCCTTCGGCTCAGATCATGATCTCAGGGTCCTGGGATTGAGCCTCGCACTGGGCTCTCTGCTCAGCAGGGAGCCTGCTTCCTTCTCTCTCTCTGCCTGCCTCTCTGCCTGCTTGTGATCCCTATCTGTTAAAGGAATAAGTAAAATCTTTTAAAAATATATTTTATTTATTTGAGAGAGAAGGAGGGAGGGAGGGAGAGAAAACATGAGCAGGGGAGGGGCAGAGGGAGACGCAGACTCCTCACTAAACAGGGAGCCTGACACTGGGCTCTATCCCAGGCCCCTGGAATGATCACCTGAGCCGAAGGCAGACATTTAACTAACTGAGCCACAACAGGTGCATCCCCTCTCCCAAATGGCAGCTTTCACAAAACTAAAATAAATATTACTAAAATTTGTGTGGAACCACAAAAGACTCCAAAGACCCAAAACAATCCTGAGAAAGAACAAAGTTGGAGGTACTACAATACCAGGTTTCAAGATCTACTATAAATCTATAGTAATCCAAAGAGTGTGGTACTGTCACAAAAATAGACACATAGACCAGTGGAAGAGAAATGAGACCTCAGAAATAAATCCACAATTATATGGTCAATTAATCCATAACAAAGGAGGCAAGAATATTATACAATGGGGAAAAGACAGTTTCTTCAACAAATGGTGCTGGGAAAACTGGACGGCTCCTTACAAAAAAGTGAAGCTGGACCACCTACTATATACAAAAATGAACTGAAAATGGATTAAAGACCTAAAGGTGAGAACTGAAACCATAAAAACCCTAGAATAGAGCAAAGGCAGTAGTTTCTCTGACATCAGCCACAGCAACATTTCCTTGATATGTCTCCTAATGCAAGGGAGACAAAAGCAAAAATAAACTCTTGGAACTAAATCAAAATTAAGAGTTTTTAACATAGCAAAGGAAACTATCAACAAAACAGAAAGATGACCTACTGAATGAGAGAATACATTTGCAAATGCTATATCTAATAATGGGTTCATATCCAAAATATATAAAGAACTTACACAACTCAATACTGAAACATCACACAATCCAATTAAAAAATGGTCAGAAGACCTGAACGGGCATTTTCCCGAAGAAGACACACAGATGGCTGACAGATACATGAAAAGATGCTCAACACCACTAGTCAGGGAAATGCAAATCAAAACCACAATGGAAAATCACCTAATACCGGTTAGAATGGCTAAAATCAAAATGACAAGGAATAACAAGTGTTGGTAAGGATGTAGAAACAAAGGAACCCTTGTGCACCGCCGGTGGGAATGTAAACTGGTACAATCACTGTGGAAAACAGTATGGCATTTCCTCAAAAAATTAAAAGTAAGATAGTATGTGATCTAATAATTCCACTACTGGATATTTACCCAAAGAAAATGAAAACACTAAATCAAAAAGACAAATGCATCCCCGTTCACTGCAGCATTATTTACAATAGCCAAGATATGGAAGCAACCTGAGTGTCTATCATTAGATGAATGGATAAGGAAGATGTGTACACACACACACACACACACACACACACAGAAGAATATCACATAGCCACAAAAAAGGATGAGATCGTGCCACCCAAGACAACATGGATGGACCTAGAAGGTATTATGTGAAGTGAAATCATCAGACTTAGACAAATTCCATATGATTTCACTCATAAGTGGAAACTTCAAAAAATTAACAAATGAGAAGTAGAATCGGGACTATAAACACAGAGAACAATTGATGATTGTCAGAGAGGAAGGAGGTGGGAGGTTGGGCCAAACAGGTGACAGGGAAAGGGAGACACAGCCTCCAGGTATGGAATGCGTAGGTCACGTGAATAAAAATCAGAGTATAAGGAATACGGTCAGTGACTCAGTCATGCAAGTTAATGGGACACATGGCAGCCACACTTGTAAGCATAGCGGAATGTGTGCATTTGTCAAATCAGAGTTGTACATCTGAAACTAACGAATATTGTGTGTCAACTACACTAAAAAAAAGTTTTGGGGGTCCCTGGGTGGCTCAGTCGGCTGAGTGGTCGACTTCTGACTTCAGCTCAGGTCATGATCTTGGGGTCGTGAGATCGAGCCCCACATGGGGCTCTGCACTGGGCGTGGAGCCTTCTTGGGATTTTCTCTCTCCCTCTCTCTCTGCCCCTCTCACTCAGTGCTCAATCTCTCTCTCTAGGAAAAAAAAAAAAAGTTTTTGATTTTGAGAGAAAAGTCAATTGAATATGTCATGTTTACAAAATGCCTTGAAAGTAATACCTTGATTGGCATTTGATTCAATACTAGGGATTCAGTACTAGGGATTCAACACTACGGATAGTCAAGGTGACACACAAACACCGTAACATTTATATTTTGTGTTTCTTCATTCTTGGTTTTTCACTAAATTTTTCTTTTCATTTTCAATAGAAAAACAAGTTATTTAAAAAACATTTTTTTTGTGTCTTGTACCTGTATGATTTTATTGCATTTAACGTTTTGTTTGTTTTCAAACAAGGTAAATAAAACAAAACGTTCACCTGCAAGAAAAAAGCCGTTTCCTGGGACTTGCCCTAGATTTACGCTCAGACTCCTGGGAGTGCTTTCACATTCTCTCCAACTGTAAGTTTCAGGGTCATGTTTCGAAACGACATGCTTTGACTGAATCAGCCCAGATTTCCACATTAAGTTTTCTTTTCCTCCTCTTGAACTCAGTCAGTTTCACTTTCCATTTCCCCTCCCTGTCACTGAGGTAATCGCTAGGAAGCCGGGAGAAAACATCAGCTGAGGTCCCTCCCTCCCCCACCATCCCTCACCACCCACAAAACCCTTATATAGCTCCTTCAGCATTGACTTCAGGCAGACTGAAATTTCGGAAGAACGAATCAGCTGGGAGCTCTGCTTTTCAGAATGGAAGAGGAGCAGGTTGCAGACAAGAGGTCAGTGACAGGAAGGCGTCAGCACCCTTGATCTTGCACCCAGCTTGTAAACCACGCTTCTCGGTGCAGGCAGGGTTCTGTGTGGTCGGGCGGCTCGAAGATGAAACATGCACTTTCGCTTTCTGTGTTTTTTTCTGGTGGACATACTCAGGCTCTCAGAACTTCTCGAAATGCTCCCCTAGCTAGCTGGGAGCGCAGACCAGCAGAAAGGGTTGGCAGGACTGTTAGACCCACTGCAGCACAGTTTGCAGAGTCAAAGTGCGACCTCCCTCGGGGGAATTACTCATTATGGGCTTTTGATGATTGTTTACTTTGAAAGGACTAAGAGGTTAAAACCTTCTTGCCGTTTAAAAAGAAGCATTTCTTTTCAGCAGATATTAGTATAGCTGGAATTGGTAGTGCAAACGCAACTCCTTTTGTCCTGAAACGTATGATCAGTCTAAGGTGGGAAGTGGAAGAAACAATTCTTACAGATGGGCATTTTTCCAGAAATCTTATATAAAAACAAAACAAGAAGCTTAGGGCTTGTTTTTGTTTCTGTGGTGAGAGCTGGGGAGCAGCAAGCAATCTCCCTTCAAAATATAATGACCTAATCTCTTTTTTAATACTGATGTCATCTCTGGTGATGGAAAGCAGGTCAGTGGCTGCCCGGGGTGGTGGAGGCCAGTGGCCCTGGTCAGGAGGGCACACTGGGGAATCTTTTTGGGGATGGGATTGAGTCTCTAAGGAGAAAGTGGTGGTGACTGCTTGGGTGTATACATTGGTCCAAATTCATCAAACTATACACTTCAAATTTTATTGTATGTAAAGTATAATCTTAGCAAACTTTTTTTTTAAAGATTTTATTTATTTATTTGTCAGAGAGAGAGAGAGAGAGAGAGAGAGTGAGCACAGGCAGACAGAGTGGCAGAGTGGCGGAGCAAGGAGCCTGATGCGGGACTCGATCCCAGGACGCTGGGATCATGACCTGAGCCGAAGGCAGCCATTTAACCAACTGAGCCACCCAGGCGTCCCACTTTTTTTTTTTTTTAATGCATGTAGACATGCTTAAATTCTGTCATCAGAGCTGAGAGAAGAAGCTGTTCCCATCAAATACCCATAGGGAGGAAGGATCCCACTGACCACTCAGGGAGTGAGGAAAGAAAGAGCAACACCCCACCCCCAAAAGGGTCTGCACGCTGGTATTTGGGGATGGGCTGCGTAAAGGAAAGTCACTGCCAAGTGCCTTTGGTTATGCTTTTCTGTCTCCATGACTGGGGCTGATCAGAAAACATGGCCCAGTGCCTTGTTATCCAGTTTGCCCAAGAGGCTTTACAGAGGACTGTGCTTGGGTGTGTCTGGAGCCCCTGACCTGAGGAAGTCTGGGGGGCCGGGGGCTCTGTGGACTCTGCTGGACTGATGACCACATCAAGCTACCCTGTTCCCAGAGGCTGTATGGACAGGGCCAGGTGGGGCTGCTCCTCGCCAGCAGGGCTTAAAATTGCCAAAGGGGAGAAGCAGCTGAGAGGGGGGCGGATCCCCTCGTTTCTTGGGGCTGGCTGATGGGCTCCCTCCTCTGCCCCACGAAAAATTCACTTAGAACTAGGACACTCATATGCCGGCGAGCATGGCGGTCAGCAATCGGTAGCGCTACTCTGTTAAGAGCTTTTCATGTTCATATCATGTGCCCAGTAGCCCGAGGAAGGAAGAACTGTGATTTTTTTATTAGCCCCATTTTCGAGATGAGCAAAATGAGGCTCAGAGGGTGAATTACTTGCCCAAGAGAGTAGGCGTCAGAGCTGGGTCATTAGTGCTGAGCGTCTCCTAATGTGTATAAAGGCCAGAAGGGTGGAATGTCTTCAGGCTATTAATTATGCTCCTGTTGGAGAGAAGGGGCAGGGACCAGAAGGACTCGGCTCTCAAAGCCACACGGAGCCACACCTTAGGAGAAGGAAAGGTGGACCTCCCCAGGGCATGGTTTCCTATAATTTGGATGGAAGGAAAAAGGAAATTCATTCAGGAATAATTTGAATGTAAAGAAATGAGGCTTAGTAACATGATTTTAAGAAATATTCCAGAGCAGGTCAAAGAGAGAACAGAAATCTGGGTGTCTTGTGGTCGTTTTCCTCTATTCTAGATTGCCTGACTTGTCGGTTGATACATTCTCTCTGACAAGTACATGGGAAACTGCTTTGCAAAATCCCTCCGGAGCAGTGCTTCTCAAAATGGGGTACAGGGAGGGGCTCCTGCAGGTACAGAATTCCCAGGACGCTTGTACAGATGCAGATCCCTGAGTCCAAGCCCACCCCTAGATTGCAACAGATGCTCTGGGACTAGGGCCTCCTTCTATCATGCCCTTTTCCAAACCCCCAAACAGTTTGTGTGGAACCCTGCTCCCAGCAGAGGGTGACCTCAGCTCTGACACATTCAATTTCAGCTTCTCCTTGGAGGGAACCTCCTCAATAGTGTGACATCAGGCTCATTGTCCTTTCCCATTTGACAAAAGTACAGACCTCAAGACTAGCTACCCCGGGGGTGGGGGTGGGGGGGTTGGGGGTATAGCCTCTTCAGCATTTGCTTCTGATCCACCATCCACAGGCAGAGAATAAAATCAGCTCAGACCCCAGCTTTTCAGAACTGAGAGAAATAGCCATCATCAGGTAAATCTGGCCAACTTTTCTGAGAGGAAGTTGAGAATTTCCACAAATCTTGTTCCTGAGAGCAGCTTCCTGAATGATGCCGATTCGGTGTTTGCTTATGGATTAAATTCACATTGATCCCATTCCATCATAAATCTATCTTAACAGTTCGAGCATTCTTATGTCTGTGGCCGGTTCTGATTTAAAGACACTGAGGGAAGTGCTCCCAGGGGAGCTGGACCGGGCAGGTGGGAAGGGGCAGGAGTTGTTGGGAGAGCCCTGAGGGAGATCCTTTGGGCAAAATCCTGTCAAAAGGGCTGGGGCCTCCCAGCGTTGTTACAGGAGGTCCTGGCCCCTGTTTTGTTTCTTTTTTCTTGTTTCTTGTTTCTTGAAAAGACTGAGTCCGTGAGTTTTGTTGTGGTGGTTGTGGTTATTTCAAAAGTGTGCTTCCTTCTGTGCAAAGGTGCTGAGGGCCAACTCAGCATGACACAGCTCTGGCTCTTAATGAGGTTGCCCTTCCCTGGAAATCTACTCTTTCAGAACTGAGTAAATATGTCGAAGGGGAGGAAGAAATGCCGGCCCCAAATGGGCCCCTTTGGACTGGAGGTTACTTTGAGCCAAAGGTAATCGTGACCCAGCAGGCTCCAGAAAAACTTTGGCCTCTCCCTTAACAGCCTGACAGATAGGCGGGCCTGCCCCCCAGAGGAGATGTGACCAGAGATAACTTTTTATCTGAAAGACTGGCCGGTACAGCAGGGCAAAGGCTGGTCACCAACCCTGTGTGCTCATCTTCCTGGGAATTCCTCCCCACCGCCTTGAAATCCCAGGCCCCCGTCCACTCCTCAGCTGAAGGTGGCCGCAAGCCCCAGCAGCCTGCCTTTAGGTCTTATACTTTTATGGGGCTCCTGCACATATGAAATTGAAGTTTTTCCCCCTGCTCATCTATGTCAGTTTAATTACTAGACTAGCCAAAGAACCTAGAACAGTAGGAAAACAGTTCTGAGTCTACCTGAGGCACCCTCTTCTTGACCTGCCATCATCCCCAGGCCTCCCCTGCGGACGAGGAGCAGGGAGAAAGTGTGCAGTATCTCCAACTGCAGCAGATGGCGGGTATCCCAGCCGAGCTGAGGGCTCTGTTAGAATGCACACTAGCAGGCCCTGCATGCTGAAATCCAGACTGAGGAAATCAGAAACAAGGCCCAGAAAAAGAAAATAATAATAATAATAAGTATTTAAAGAGGACCATGGGTATTTCACCTACACAAGAAATGCTCCTTGCACCATACGTATATGCAAGTGCAAGACACCCAGAGTGGGTGGGGAGTGGGTGGCCCAGGAAGGACGCTGATATAAAGCATGGCTTGCCCACTGAAGGGGTGTTTGAGGATAAGAACCTGGTGATTGGAAATCTCTGCCAAAAAGGGAAATCTTCCTGGAGCCTCACTACTCCTGCTCACAGTGTGGTCTGAGTCCGACTTCCCTGGAGGTTGTTAGAAAGGCAGCACCCCACCCCTGCCGAATTCAGATCTGCATTTGCACAAGGTCCTCGGGTGATTTGGTCCCTGTGCACATCAGAGGGGGAGCAGAACGGCTCTGGAGAGTTCCTTGGCTCACTTTCTAAAGTGATGGGCTCCCCGAGTGGTGCCTGTTTTGACCAACTAATTGGGCATGAGATCTGCCTATCCCTGCCCGCGGTCAGCGGGACCATAACCAGAGCATCCCAAGTGACAAGCTGCCTCAGAAATTCCCTGGAAACTCCTGATCTTATCATTATGAGGTTAAGAGTCTCTTTCTGAACATTTCAAGATTCTACTCTAGTGATGGCTTTGACTAGGCCTTGAAAAGAGAAGTGGCGTCTACACTGGGGTCCGTGGGTCCCACCAAAGATGGTCACCATGCAGGAAGGTGGGAAAGAGAAGCAAGGGGTGTCGGTGGGTTAAATCTGGGTATTTCCTAAGGACTAGTACTGCCAGTTTCACCTGTTTTCCTCCGCAAAATCTCACGGCTGCCGCTGGAGGCTGTGAGGAGTCTCTTCCTGGGCCACAGGGACTGCCTCCTCCCCACAGTTTCTAGTAGATGAAGGGAGGGAGAGAGGAAGGGCATTCAACTACCCTTGTTTCACGTGAACTTAGACGTTCTCTTTATCAAGTTTCTGCAGCAGTCATCCTACCCAATTGCTTTGTTTTCCCCTTTAAATATCCGGATTTAATTATTGCTCAGTAATTTCATAAATTGCACACATAAACATATAAGGAACATTTAGAGCAACTTTCAAAAACACGTATGAACTAAATTGCTAAGTGAGAAAGGCTGAAAAATGGGTATTGGTTTTTGTTTTGTTTTGTTTTGAAGATTTTATTTATTTGCAGAGAGAGACAGATC